GAAGCCAACCTTTATCTAGTATCTTAAACATATCACTACAAACGGGTAAGTGTACCAGATAAATGGACAATAGCAAATGTCATACCCATATACAAAGCAGGAGACAGGTCCTTGACTTCAAATTATAGACGAGTCAGCTTAACCTCTGCTGTGGGGAAGCTGATGGAATTAACAATTGCTGATAAGATTCGAATCCACCTTAAAAAAAATAATTTGATCACTGAATCTCTTACTTTAAGAATTTACTAATATTTTCTCCCTAACGTTCGAGGTGGTTGACCAAGATAAAGAATACGATATTGAGCATATGGACTTCAGAAAATTCTCTGGTAAAGTTCCACATAGGAAACTGATTAAGAAAGCATTGACACATGGAATTATCTCCTGGGGTGATGCATGGCTGGCCAACTAGCAACAGAGTTTGCATTAATGGGAAGAAATCGGAATGGAGACCTATTACGTGTGGTGTGAAACAAGGGCCAGTGTTGGGACCCCTGTTGTTTACAATCTACATAAACGACACTGATGAAGAAATAAACAGCGACATATAAATTTGCCGATGACACTAAAATAGGCAGCCAAAATTATTTCTGATGTGGATAGCTTGTTGTAGTCGCAGAAGTGGCAGATGCAGTTCAATGCAGACAGGTGTAAGGTTCTAATCCTAGAAAAAGCAAATAACTATGGCACTAAGACTAAGCACTGTAGATCTTAGTCAAAGTGAAGGAAACGTTTCACCAGCCAGTGGCTTCGTCAGTTCAAGACTGGGAAGAACGGTGTTTGTAATAAAGCTAATGGAATTCTTGGCTTCATATAAAGAGCTATAAATATATAAATTATCTCTGATTAAATCTCATTTAGATTATGCTGCTCAATTCTGGTCTTCATTTTACAGGATGAACATAAATGCGCTGGACGACGACGAAGGCTGATGCCATGTATCAGAAACCTTTCCTATGAAAATAGGCTGAAGGCACTGAACTTGTACTCTTTGGAAAGACGTTGAATTAAGGAATATATGATTGAAGAAACAAATGGAAAAAAAGTATATAAAGGGGATGTAAACATGTTGAAAATATCAAAGCAAGTTAGAGAAATTTAACTTTTGAAATGATACTGTAAAATACTGGTTTGGCAACAGAGTTGTACATGAGTGGAACACACTCCCATGTAGCGTCACTGAGGCAGGAACTTTGGGTTGCTTTAGATATAGGTTGGATGGGGATACGAGAACCTTCAAAACTAGGAGCTCCAAGCCCATGGTGATTCTCTTCACAACGCCTGTTCTCTCTAGGCTGGAATACTGCTGTACACTAACTGCCCCCTTCAAGGCAGGCGAAACTGCTGACCTGGACAATGTACAGAGAACTTTCACGGCACATAAGTATGATAAAGCACCTAAATTACTGGGAACGGTTGAAGTCCCTTGATTTGTATTCCCTGGAATGCAGGCGAGAAAGATGCATGATAATATACACCTGAAAAATCCTAGAGGGATTAGTACCAAACTTGCACACGAAAATCACTCCCTACGAAAGCAAAAGACTGAGCAGGAGATGCAATACATCCCCAATAAAAAAAGCAGGGGCGCCACGAATACACTAAGAGACAACACAAATGTCTGGGGTCCAAGACTGTCAACTGTCTCCCAGCATATACAAAGTTAGTTTATTACCAATAGACCCCTGGTTGTCTTCAAGGTGCTGGACAGGCACCTAAAATCAGAACCTGATCAGCCGAGCTGTGGTTCTTGCATCGGTTTCCAAGTCGAACCGAAACGTTTTCGTGAGCTTCTCTCTCCAATATGCGGGTTATCTGTGTATTGTTTCAGTCACGGTAAGGTGCCTTTTTTTTTTTTTTTACTGCCAGACATATACTGAGAAATGAGACATACACAGTGGACCACTGCTGCTGCCAAAAACACTGAGGAACGGGATGTACACAGTGGACCACTACTGCCAGTCATAAACTGAGAAACGGGGCATACATTAGCGGACCACTGCTGTTGCTCCCACTACAGTTGACTGTAGTGGGAAGCGATAGTTTGCTACCTTTCTCTGAGTGACTGACTCCTCCTTAACTTACAAATAAAAAAGTATAAATGTACAAAAGTGTAAGCTAGTGAACTTTAATGAATTATGATTAGTTATCTTACTGCTACTGCTGTTACTGTTATTACTGCTACTGTTACTGTTATTACTGCTACTGTTGTTATTGCTACTGCTGTCACTGTTATTACTGCTACTGTTGTTACTGCTACTGCTGTTACTGTTATTACTGCTACTGTTGTTACTGCTACTGTTGTTACTGCTACTGCTGTTACTGTTATTACTGCTACTGTTGTTATTGCTACTGCTGTCACTGTTATTACTGCTACTGTTGTTATTGCTACTGCTGTTACTGTTATTACTGCTACTGTTGTTATTGCTACTGCTGTCACTGTTATTACTGCTACTGTTATTACTGCTACTGTTATTACTGCAACAGTTGTTACTGCTACTGCTGTTACTGTTATTACTGCTACTGTTGTTACACTGTTGTATATATTACTGCATACTGCAGATTGACTTTTGCTATTATTACTGTTTACTGCAGTTGCTTACCTATTATACCATATTACTGCTCGCTACAAGCATAACACCTCAGTACAACAATGCAGTTACCCTGTGATCTATAATTATATATAATCGACCGTTCTGCTACTTTTCGTTATCGCCCAGGGCCCCTTCACACGCTTGTTGATTATACACTCAGTTTCAATAACACCATACAGTGTTGACATCAGTGGGAATTAATCCTCGTGTTTGAATTCATAAAGACTGGTTAAGATCTGTTCGGATTTTTAATATAGAGAAGGGTTAGCCACCCAGAATAACCCTACAAAGTCAGTATGTCATTGAGGACTGTCTTATTTCCATTGTGGTCCTTCAATCTTGTCCCCCAGGATGCGATCCACACCAGTCGGCTAACACCCAGGTACCTACTTACTGCTAGGGGAACAGGGAAAGGTGTAAGGAAACATGCCCAACGTTTCCACTCATTCCAGAGATTGAACCACGGACACTCAGTGTGTGAGGCGAGAGCGTTGCCATCCGAGTCACGGGACACACTGGGTTTAAATCCTGTCGACCTACGAGGGTCATTTAACCTGCATGTGATTTGTTTAATAGTCGAAAATACTTTAATCTTACTTATGGGTGTATTGGGACTTGAAGTAAACGCTAAAGTCTGTATGTATATGTGTGTGTGTGTGTGTATATATATATATATATATATATATATATATATATATATATATATATATATATATATATATATATATATATATAAAAAATACACCACACACACACACACACACACACACTCCCTACGCGTACATACACACATATCTAGAGAGTGGGAGAGACTTCAGAGTATATACCAACTGGGTAATACAACCACTGTATATATAAAATTTTAATTTTTAATAATTCATCCTAAGCGCTAAACCCATGTGGGTCATTCAGCGCAGGATGTGGTAGAGGCTTGATCCTCCGTCTGCTGAGTTTGAGACAGACAAGTCTGTAACAAACACACTTTCACATTTAACATATATAAAGCTTATCTTCAACTCAATCAGAAATATTTACCTTTTACGCGCATATTAAACACGTTCAAAACCTTCCCAAAACATATCTGTAGGCACGAGAGTTCTGTGCAATTTAATAACAGAAAACCTAAATGGCATTCAAACTTATATCGATAATTGTGGCTAGTTAAAAATCCTAAACGCTATTACTAGTGTATTATTGTTAAAAACAAAAGCTTCACGACATTTTTCGCCACCAGTTGTTCTGCCTTATAACTTATAACTTAAAACATAATGTAGAAATGTTGGCGAGTGTGAGGTTAAGCGGTGGAGAAACGTTGACGAGCGTAAGGTTAGGGGAGTTCGTTAAGGGCAGCCGTGTAAACGTTCACCAGGGAGGTTAGATGGTGTCCTGTAGCTGGATCACTAGCGCACACAGCTCACACACTGAGGTCCGGAGTTCGAATCTCCAGTACGGCTGGAAAACATTAGGGACGCATTTCCATAAGACACCTGCTGTTCCTGTTCACCCATCAGTATAAATTTTTTTTAATAGGTACCTGAGTGTCAGTCGACTGGTGTGGGTCGCATCCTGGGACAAAACTGACCTAATTTGCACGAAATGCTCAGCGTAACAAGCGGCTTTCTATGTAGTAGTATATCATTCATGTCAGCTAGGCCTGTAGTATAATTTGTACATGTAGGAAAATATATTATATTATTATTATTATTATTATGAGTTTGTTAGATTCAGTAGTGTAGTAACGTTGATGGAGTGTGAAGCTAGGGAGGGTGGACGATAGTTAGGCAAACAGCCTAACTAACGTGCGTCATTAAGGCTGTTGCTCTTCAACCAACCTCATTGGGACTTAAAGTAATTTCAACGCAATGTCATGTATATAGGAATTTTATTAGTTCATCAATCACAAACTAGCAAGTAGTATAAGTTGGTGCAGTAGAAAACATCATAATCCATCTCTTGATTTATTATGAAGTACGTTTATTCTGTGGACTTGATGGGTCCTCAAAGTTCTAGAGGGTGGCGATATCTACCAGTAACTATATTATTAATTATATCTTATACATACCTTATATAGATATATATAGTACATTTAATAGTATTATTTATATATATGAATATATATATAAATAAATACATAAAATATAGGTATAATATATAAACTAAACAGATATATTTATAATATTTATATCTAGTGATATATATATATAATGAATATACTATAATATATATAAATATATATATATATATATATATATATATATATATATATATATATATATATATATATATATATATATATATATATATAACACACACACACAATATGAGATATATTCTGCTGGAGTATACAACATATGGAGTGAAGGACGGTTGCAGCTGGGTAGGTAACAAGAAACATGTTACACTTACCTGTGTGTGTATATGTGTATGTGTCTTCCTGGGTGACTCTAGCACTTCCTGCACCAGCTTTCCCCCCAACACAACCCTAGTAGATTACCACACACAAACACTGCTTGCCACTTCAATAACCAAATGTAGTCTTAATCTCGTTATTAAAGAACACTTTAATGCATCACATCCTTGGGTACACAGTTGAGATATCACTGTTCTTGTGTTGACTTAGGAAGGCCGCATCACTCACACGCCCAGACGTACCCACTGTTCTGCCCACTAGAGTGACCAACACTTGACTGAAGCAACATCCACCACACACTCAAGATGCCAAATTGTCACTAATCCTCACAGACACGGAATCAGTGCCCAAGGCATTCCTCACTTCAGTGGGTAACCAACATCCCGTCTTTACTGACATTTAATATAGTCTACGTAAGACTAATGGATTTACTTACAATATACATCAGTTGGTTATAAATGAAACCAGATGAAGATACCAGACTTGAGAAGTGTGAGAATTAGAGAATGTGAAGGATGTTGAGAGATGAGAGCACAGGTTGCCCCTTGGGGAGGGGGGCTGCCCATGGGGTAAAGGGGGAGGGGTAATGGGGTGGGCACTACTCGCCAGCTCTGTCAGACGTACGATATTCTCACTCCGACCGTCACTTTATTCTACCATTAATTCTTAAAATCTACCTACATTAATTTAATGACTTCATACTAGTTAATATCAGTACATTAGTAACCATTAGAGGGTCTTAATAAAAAGTATTAAATATAGGAGTGGGCATCTGTGGTGGGTAGCGGGGTAGCTGCTGAGTGGTGGCCACAAGGTGAGCTCTGGCCTCCTACACTATTACCTGTGACTCCAGCTCCAGTTCTAATTTCAAATGATGTGTGTAGCTTCATAACTCCATCCTAGCACGCACCTCACTAACTTCAACTACAACTTCTAACTTTACAACACACACACACACACACACACTCCATATATATTATAGAGAGAAAATGAGTTCCCATAGAAAAAACTAACACTCCGGGGTACACCACATTAAGAAATACTCCCTAAAACTAAAAATATTCAAAATCCTTTTTCTGGGAAATCATTAGTTTCCTTTTAATTACTGGAGCATGTAGTAGTTAGTTACCATAATACCATTCTGAAATATTGACATGAACCACAACCCTCACTCGTCCATTACCCTCACTCGTCCACTACCCTCACTCGTCCACTACCCTCACTCGTCATACCTCACTCGTACTACCCTCACTCGTCCACTACCCTCACTCGTCCACTACCCTCACTCGTCCACGACCCTCACTCGTCCACTACCCTCACTCGTCCACGACCCTCACTCGTCCCCCCCGGAATAACCTCCAGGTAACCCTCACTCGTCCACTACCCTCACTCGTCCACTACCCTCACTCGTCCACTACCCTCACTCGTCCACTACCCTCACTCGTCCATGACCCTCACTCGTCCACTACCCTCACTCGTCCACTACCCTCACTCGTCCACTACCCTCACTCGTCCACTACCCTCACTCGTCCACGACCCTCACTCGTCCATTACCCTCACTCGTCCACTACCCTCACTCGTCCATTGCCCTCACTCGTCCATTACTCTCACTCGTCCACCACTCCTCACACACACTGGTCCACAACGCCCCTTCACCCACTGGTCCACCATCCCTTTCACACACTGATCCACTACCCCTCTCACACACTGATCCACCACCCCACTCCATAAAGGTGGCAGCAAAACATTAGCTAAGAACTATAGATCAATAGTTCTCACGTCCCACATCATAAAAATCTTTTGAAAGAGTGCTAATAAGCGCGATTGCAAACCACTTGGATTCCAAAAATTTGCACAATTCAGGGCAACATGGGTTCAGAGCAGGTCGCTCCTGCCTCTCGCAACTACTGGATCACTATATGGTCTTGGATGCAGTGGAAGAAAAACAGAATGCAGATATAATATACACAGACTTTGCAAAAGCCTTTGACAAGTGTGATCATGGCGTAATAGCGCACAAAATACGTGCCAAAAGAATAACTGGCAAAGTGGGGAGATGGATCTTTAACTTTCTAACCAATCGAACACAAAGCGTAGTGGTCAACAGAGTTATATCGAAAGCTGTAATAGTGAAAAGCTCTGTTCCACAAGGCAGAGTACTCGCCCTCATCCTGTTCCTCATCCTTATATCAGACAGAGATGTAATCCACAACACCGTGTCATCTTGTGCAGACGATACTAGGATCTGCGTGAGAGTGCTGTCTATAAAGGACGCTGTTAACCTCCAAGAAGATATAAACCAAGTTTTCCAATGGGCAACGGAAAATAATATGATGCTCAATGAACACAAATTCCAACTACTCCGTTATGGAAAACTGGAGAAGATAATAATTAGAACTGAGTATACTACAAACTATGATCATACAATAGATTGAAAAAATAATTTGAGGGACCTGGGAGTGGTAATGTCTGAGGATCCCACTTTCAAGGATCACAACAGTGTCACGATCACAACTGCAAAGAAAATGATAGAATGGATAATGAAAACGTTCAAAACAAGAGATGCCAAGCCAATGATAATCCTTTTCAAATCACTTGTTCTCTCTAGACTGGAATATTGCTGTACATTAACATCTCCGTACAAAGCAGGTGAAATTGTAGTGTTCAAAGAACCTTTACTGCACATATAAGTTCTATCAAACACCTTAACTACTGGGAACGCTTGGAAGCGCTTGACTTGTACTTGCTAGAACGCAGGCGAGAGAGATGTATCATAATCTACACCTGGAACATCCTAGAAGGAATGGTCCCGAATCTGCACACACAAATCACTTCCTACGAAAGTAAGAGACTGGGGAGGCAGTGCAAAATACCCCCAATGAAAATTAGGGGCACCATTGGTACACTAAGAGAAAACACCACAAGTGTCTGGGACCCAAGACTGTTCAACAACTTCCCACCAAGCATAAGGGAAAATTACCAATAAGCCCCTGGCTGCCTTCATGAGGGAGCTGGACAGATACTTGAAGTCGGTGCCGGATCAGCCGGGCTGTGGTTTGTACGCTGGACTACATGCGGCCAGCAGTAACAGCCTGATTGTTCAGGCCCTGAGCCACCGGGAAGCCTGGTTGTGGACCGGGCCGCGGGGGCGTTGATCTCCGGAATACCCACCAGTTGACCCCTCTCACACATGGTCCACCACCACTCTCACACACTGGTCCATTACTCCTCACGCACAATGGCTCACAGCCTTTACATACACACTGGTCCACCTCTTACACAATGGTCCACTACCCCTTACACTCACTGGTCCACTACCCCTTAATAACACTGGTCCACTACCCCTTCACACACACACACACTGGTCCACTACCCTTTGCACTCACACTGGTCCACTACCCTTTGCACACACACTGGTCCACCACCCTTTACACAATTGTTTACTGCTCCCCCTCGTGCACCACCCCTAACACAATTGTTCACCACCCCTAACACACAACTGTTCATCCCCCATCCTCACAGTTGTTACCATCCCTAACACACAACTGTTCACCACCCCCACCTATAATCTACTTGGAGGTTACCTGGAGGTTATTCCGGGGAACAACGCCCCTCTGGCCCGGTTCATGACCAGGCCTCCCTGTGGATCAGGGCCTGATCAATCAGGCTGTTACTGCTGCCTCATGCAGTCCAATATACGAACCACAGCCTGGAACCGATTATCAGGAACTTGTCCAATTCCCTCTTGAAGGCTGCTAGGGGTATATGTATGATAGGATATATCTTTGATGTACAGTTGATGAATTAAGCGAGTTTCTCTATTTCCAGAGCCCGACCCTGGACCAGGCTTGTCTGGTGTTTGCTTGATCAACCTGGCTGCTGCTGTTGGCGGCCCACTGGTCCATTTATCACAGTCTGGTTTATCTGGCACTTGGTGGAGACACTTGTCCCAGCAGTGTTTCTGGTATCTTCTGTTAAGATGTTGGATAGTCTGGGACCACGGGATACAATGTTCTCTTATGGTACCTACGGCACCCCTATTTTTCACTGGGTATATTTTACATCTCCCGTCTGTCTCTCTCTCTCTCTCTCCAGTATGTTATGGCAGAATACAAATTTAGGCCCATGCATCTCTCCTCTGCTCCAATGAGTACATATTTCGAACTATGAGGCGTTACTAATAGTTTAAATACTTTATTGGTTCTATGAAGGCCGCAAATGATTTCTTAAACTGTTCCAGCACCGATCTCTCTCTCGTCCTTAACTGGGCCATCAACACTGAACAATATTCTAAACGAGAGACCACAAGCGATTTGAAAAGTGTTATCATTGGCACTATTTCCCTTGTTTTGAAAGTTTTCATTATCCAGTCATCTTCCTGGCTGTTGTAACATTTACCTTACTGTGTTCTTTGAAAAAAAGGTCAGTCGACATCATTACTCCCAGAGCTTTCAGGTGTTCCTTTCGTTTTATTTCATGATCCTCTTGGCTTTTGTATACAGTATCTCATTTGATTTCTTCGTTATCACCAGTGACCATCATGTTTCACTGGGTGTATATTGCATCGTCTGCCGAGCCTCTTGCTTTCGTAGGGAGTGACTTTTGTTTGCAGATTTGGGACCAGTCCTCTAGGATTTTCCAGATGTAAATTATGTTGCACCATTCTCGTTTGCCTTCCAAGAAGTACAGGTTAAGAGTCTTCAAACGTTCCCAGTAATTAATTGTTCACTACACACAATCTCTCAACACCTCACACAACTGTTCGACATCCCCCCCCACCACACACAATGTTTTACTACCCTTTCACGCTGTGTGAAACCAGGAACATATAAACATGGATGCAAGAGAATGAACATGCGCACATGCATATATTAGGGTGGTAGACAGCAACCACCCAGGGAGGTACTACCATCCTGCCAAGTGAGTGTGAAACGGAAACCTGTAATTTGTCTCTTTTTCTGTCTCATTAACACACAAGATAAGAGGTACGTCTTGCTACTTCTACTTACACTTAGGTTATACTACACATGCATGTGCACACATATATATACATACCCATCTGAGTTTCTCCTATTTTCTTAAAATTTTTTGTTCTTTATTTCCTCTTATCTCCAGGGGAAGTGGAACAGAATTCTTCCTTTGTAAGCCATGCGTGTCGTAAGATGCAACTAAAATGCTGGGAGCAAGGGGTTAGTAACCCATTCTCCTGTATAAATTACTAAATGTAAATATAAAATCTTTCATTTTTCTGTTTATGTCGCCATATACATGTCGTGCCGAATAGGTAAAACTG